GCTTCCTGATTCTTCTTCCTTAAACCAGAAACATTTGAAGGAAAACTCTAAACTCAATAGCATGTTTTCTACACTAGTTGATCTTCCTCACTCTTTAATCATATACTTTTCGGAATTTTTTTTTTCTGAATTGATTAGAATCTGGTGATAAGGAACCCAAGGATAACAGTTCACTAGTTTACTGGATATTTAATATTGCCCAGAGGAGGACAAATGAACAAACTTGACCTTTGGTTTAAAATTCTTAAATAAAACCAGCTTATCAGTTTTTGGATTGGCCATACATTTCATATTGCTCTGCATAATCTTGTACCATCTGGGGAAAAAAAAAAAAGTGCTCATCTGCTCAAGTCATTTCTTTTTACAAAATCCAACTTTATATAGATCGTGGGACTATAATTTTATTTTAGGGTATTCTGTTCATTTGGGCTATCTTAAGAAAACTATTAATGAACTGTTATCTCAGACATTATACCCGATGCGAACTAGTCTCAAAAGATTTCTTTTCCAAATGAATTCCAAATGAAGGTAAATTGCTTTACAAACGTGAATATAAAAATCTCAAATTAGTTAAGTGGTATATTCACTGAATTTACTATAATTCAAACTTTAAAACTGTGGATGTTCAATAAGAACAGATTTATAGAGAAAAGTTCTGTATTTCCAGGTTTCCCCTCCAATACAATGATTTTGTTTCTGTGAGGCCAGTTGATACCACTTTTACCTGAGAGATGTTAGTGAAGTAGCTTAATATGAACAGACTATAATATTACTGGCTCATGAACATGGGTTTTGATTGGGATTGACTTAAAAAAGAGTCTAGTTGTTTGAAACTAGAGTTGATTTGAATTCTGAATAGTACTTAGATTAAATATATTTTTTTCTGTGTTTTTATACAGTTTTTTAAACAAAAGCTTTTAAAAGTAATTTTAGTTGATTCATATTTCATTGACATCATAAAATAAATTGGAGTCTTCTAGTTAGAATATTTTTAAAAATATAGCTTATTTTCTCTTGAAAGAAACAATATAAAATTGAATAAGGCTAACACAAGTTTAATAAGATCCTAAAGAAATTTGGCTTTCATGTTTAGTAACATTATTGGTTGTATTTTGTTAAAGTCTATTAGTTATAGTAATACTTTTTAAACAAAATTAATTGAAGATATCAGATTTCAGTGGATTGAATCCATGTGCTAAACTTTTTCTATTATTAATATCAGCAAATTTTCTCTTCTAAAGTAAAACACTAAATTGTAACTTTCAAAATAAACTGAAGTTTTAGTTGGATGTTATATTCATGCATTGAGTTAATTTCATGTTTTAATATTTTGAACGTCATTCACCCATTGATAAGAAAACTCTAAAAGTAAGTTACTCCAGAACCACGTGATACAGTCTTTTACAAAAAGGATCCTTATTTCAATACATGTTAAACTGGCTTCGAGGGACTTTTAAAAAGTGCAGTATTATATTCAGAAATCGTAAATCTTTCAGACTACATTTCTTCCAAAGAAATAGTGCAAAGGGAAAAAACAAAATATTCATTGCCTTTAGAGAAAACAAAAAGGCAGTTATTACCATATACATAATATAAAAGAGATCCATTTGACTCATCGATGTAGTTGGAGTTGTAGCCCTTATTTTGGCTGGGTTCTAATTACCATGTATTGCATATTTCTCTTAATCTAATGCAGGTTCCTAAACTTGAGTTATATAGAGAACCCTTATAATGGAAAAAAGAAATCTCAATGGCCCTCCAGATTTTATTTAAAATATGTATTTGGAAGGCAGTTATGCTCACCGCTATACCACCAATGCCAACACAATGGAATACTACTCTACCATAAAAAAGAATGAAATACTGCCAATTGCAGCAACATAGATAAACTTAGAAAAAATCATATTAAGTGAAGTAAGCCAGGCACAGAAAGAGAAAATCCATATGTTCTCACTCATAAGAGGGAGCTAAAGTAATAAACATATAAATAAAAGAAGAAAGATACAACATTCCCAATAATACATTGAACTTTCAAAAGGACAACTGAGGTTACTATGAGCAGGGAGAGAGGGGAGAGGGAGGAATGGGTAAAGGGCCATGAATAGCAATGATAGTGTATATTATTGAATATAATAATTATTCTGATGTGAGCACCACATATTGCATGTAGGTGTTGATGTTCAACTCTGTACCCCACAGATATGTACAATTAACTTTGTTACAATAAATTAAAAAAAAAATAAAATATATATTTGAATCACCATGTTTTTGAAAACTGTGTATCTGTATAGGCATTTTGTTTATATATTCAGAATGCCAAAGAAGATAATTTGAATAATACAAAGCTACATTAACCAAAAGGCAATGCCATTTTACTTAATTGCTCACAGTGCATATTTTACTAACAAGTATAGGGTTGGTTCTTTGAACCCAAATCACTTTCATCAGCTATACTACCCTGTGCCTTTTGTTGATTTGGGTCTCCCACCCCTTTTTTCCATTCAAAACAATGTAATACCTAACTATGAGTCGTTTGGCTTTTACACAGATGTATATTAAATTTGTCTCAATGATTAAAGTAGTATTACTTGGAGTTAAATCA